TCTCTTTGACTTGGAATTTGCATTATCGCACTTTAAAACAATAATTTTCTAAGAGTACGGAGAAAGGTTGAATTGGAGACTTATTAAGGAAAGACGTTTATCAGATATTTGAGGAGTGTGCTGCTACCAAATTACTGTCAAGGATTTCAGGTAGACATATGCTGAAATAAGTCTTCTATTTGTTTTGCGGCAATATTGTGGACTGCAGCAATAAATGCTGAACTGGCGAATGGGTAGAACTAATAAAAATTGGTGGCTTTAAAATTTTAATAGTTTTTCTGATTGAAAAAACTGAAATTTTTTTTGGTGTCTATGAGTAAGTTGCCAAAAAACAAGCTTCGTCAGCTTTTTTACACTGATTTTGAAATGCGTTTTTTGCCAACTGACTGTTGAAACAAATGCTTATACTTTGTGATCAAAATTATTATTGCCTTCACAACGTTCTTTCATTTGTTATTCGATTCTTTTGCATTGAAAAATTATGTTTCTCTAAATTTCGTGGCAAAAAACACAAAGACGAAGTTTGCTGACGATGATTTTGTAAGGATCGTGTGTGGAACTACCGTTAACATAACTTAAGACAAAATAGGTACAAAATTTATTTGTTACTACTTGTGAAAGCCAGGATTTTTTAATTTTTGCCTCTTTGCTTATTAAATATTTTGAAACAATATCAGAAATCGATTGTCACTGTGATTATGTGCAAAAATTTTTGTTCACACATACAGCCGAAAAGCTATTTTGATGAATAATAAAGAATGGTAGCTAAAAACACGTTAGAAGTACGTTAGTGTTCGTTAGTTAAAGGACTGATTTTACTTCCGGGATTTCGATTAACTGTTTATATATTTTTTTTATAGTGATGATAATGAAAGCAGTTTAAAATGAACGAGAAAGCAAGCAATTAGTAGTAGTTCGGAAATGAAAATTTTTCAAAAAAAATATTTTGACTTACTTGACTCGTTACCACTGTCACCTTCGTCTAAGCGGAACTGAAGCCTGCCGGGATTTTTTTCAGGCTCTGTTGCGGGTCGACTGTGTGTGTTCAGCGCAGGTGAAATACTACGTACTGCATTGGCTGCGACCAGAGTGACCAGAAGAGGTGCGAGAACAAACATTGCAAATATCCTAATCTCATAACTGCGATTCATCTAAAGCAGAATAACACAGAAGATAAAAGACAGATTTTTAGCGAAGTGCTGAAACGGCAGAAAAGGAAAATAAACTTTTCACCGATAACTGGATTCTATAAGATGACTCAGAGCGTTTCTCATTGAAACCATTACAATCGATACGCTGCAGGCATCATTGCTTTTTTACATCCTTCGAGTTTTTTCTCTTATTCAGGACTAGTTTCTTATCAAATAATCGTGACAAAAAAATTCAGCATTACACTGTTGTGTATTTGTTTACAAAAGTAAAAACTGTAAATTCGAACTATGTATATTAGTTATAAAAATTGTACATTAGAATACCCCACTAAGTTATAACTGAATTTAATAGATACCTCTATTATTGATATAACAACGAAGATATTTCCAGAGTGGATCCGATTCAATTAAGTAACGACTACTGACGAATTTCGGTCAAAGGTGAAGACGTCTTCTCGGGAACTTTTGGCTTTCACTTATCCAGTAGTAAAGTGCTGACCTTCGCAAAGATTTTTATTCAACGTT